TCTTTTTTATGCACCTAAGCATCCATCTGTCTAGAAGTGCGTCAAAAGAAAGATAACGCATACCTTTAACGCGTATATGGAATCATATTTGACGCATGACGGATCCGCAAGGGCCATTTATGTCCGCATGACGCATCCGCATGACGCGTATATGGAATCTTAGCTTTACACTCAGACAATTCAGGGTTTACCATTGGGTATTTGATGAAGTATATTGATGGATTTAAGAAAAAAGCTAAAAATTTACAAATTACAATCAGAATTCAGAAAATAATACAAAAAGAATGATTTTAAATTAAGTATCATCAATGATATGTTTCTTTACAATTCCATATCTATATCAATTTCACTGTGCTAGCTTTCCAACAGAAATTCTATCTTAAATTGCCCATAGTTTCCATCTTCGGGGGACTAGTACCTACTGGGGTGCCATCCAAAGCTGTTGATCATAACATGTCCCTAATGTTCTAATTGTCCATCGGACATCAAGTATAGGCAATTTATATTACCCAACTTCACCCAGTATACAGCACAAGAGGTATTTGAGAGGCCCTGTAGACAATTTCTTAATTACAGGTTTGATAATATAATCATTGTAAGACATTTAGAAGTATCACAGAACATTAAGAAACAACAGTTATATGGATATAGACTTCTATTGATTATTGAACACAACGTTTCATTACGCATACAGTTTCATTACACATACAGTTTCATTACACATACAGGAAAATGAAATGAAATGAATGGAGTTTTAAAGGCCTAATTATACTGAGCGCGACCATTGATTGGCTAATGTAAATAGTTCGCGCAGTCTTTTCCCAAAAATTCGCTCTGGAGACAATCTCCGCGGTTTTCCGCGCAACAAAAATTCGGTCGCATTCGCGTTCGCCCCTAGTATAAACGACCTCATACAAAATCAGGTTAAGCAATCCAATGCGAACGCCGCGTTCGTAGTCGCGCTCAGTAGACCTTGAGTCCTACTTTTCTGTACACACAGGAGAATGTTCTCAATCAATCATCACTTGAGAACGTTACCTGTATGTGAAATGAAACGTTGTGTTTAAATAATAAATAGAAGTCAATATCCATAAAAACTGTTGTTTCTTAAGGTTTGATAAAGTCTTTAAATGACATTTAAGAATTTTAAATATGATATAGAGACATAGTTTATAAAACAAAATCATTGGTTAAACTCTTATTCTTCCTTTCAGCGTGTTTTTCCATGCCTGAGGACGACAGGGGAACGCATCGAAACGTTGCATTAAAATTTAACCAGTGATTGTTGTTCCATAAAGCTCTGTCTATATGATTGTATCTGTGGTATATTTGGACAGACTTGGGTGTGGCTCTAGCTTGGCATACCTGTTTCAATCTAATATTGTTACATTAATTTGTACAAATTTAAAACTTGGGTTTCAGAAATAATAATCATACCGTACAAATAATTACAGTGGTTTGGTTGAATTAAACATTTACATTAACTAGTGCTTCAACGAATCCGTCTAAAAATATAAAACAGAATTACAGTAGGGATGTGGCAAAATTAAGGATAACATCATAGGCCCGTTTACATGAGTTGGGCTTGGACCAGTGGATTTACTGACCCAGGTTGACTCCAGAGTTAAAAAATCCAGGGTCAACTCTGTTCATGTTTACACGAGGACAGTCTGCTATGGTCGCAATTTCAGTGAAGCCTGGGCAACCAATGACGTGGCAGAAGCCATCTTTCGGCATAAACTGCTGAACCGGGGTCGAATTGGAGTCAACATGTGAACAACTGCCCCCGGGCCAACCTTTGGTGGACCCGGAGATTTTACTCGCCCTTACGGCCCTTATATGGGGTATTTAGAAATATTAAAACAGAACCTAATAAAACATGTTGTTGTTAGTCAGAGTTTCACGCTATGCGATCTTCAGACAACTGACCTAAATAATTCAGCCTGCGTCCCTACTGAAATTGGACAAGTAGAAGTTATTCTCATAAAAAACCAACCACCATTTTAGAAGTATTGCATCTTCCCTTATACCTTTCCATGCTTTAAGGTGCAGGCACACGGGCGTCCCCGACAGGATTTATAAAACTAAACAAGTTTGATAATTGTCTCTCATAGTCTATCATCCAATCAGACTCATTTTCCTTTCAATTGCAAGCTCTGCACGTGATTATCGAAATGGTGGAAAACGACCGACTGGAGATTTTTGTCGTGTGCCCGTGCCAGTCGTTGAAACTCTTGACAAGACTCTAGTTGGTGAAATGAAAAAATTATCTGACCAAGACCGTTTGTGTGCCTGCACCCTTACTAAGCATCCAAAATTCTCACCTGATGGCGTCTTCGTTCGATAAAATCTGATAATCGTGAAGTGAGGATGGGTTTTGGGCGTAGCGGAGAATTTCTGGGTACTAATGCTTTACGAATCCAGGCACTTTCTAAACATGTATGAGCTGTTGGTCGCCGACTGAAAAATAAAAATCATAGAATTTGATGATAACAACGGTAGGTAGATGACAAGTTAACATTCGCTTCCAGCGGATGCTGATATCGCAAACTAGGTAGTTGTTGGTAGATGACAAGTTGACGTTCGCTTCCAGCGGATGCTGATATCGCAACTAGGTAGTTGTTGGTAGTCGTAGTAGTTGGTAGTTGATTACAACTAGAATTTTATCTAATTATACCTTTCATTGCCACCCACAATTCTACAGCTAAAAATGCCTCTGTGACTGTCAAACGCTTTTATAAAAAAAGCAACACTGAAAAAACCGAAAAACAAAACAAAACCATAACTCACCTTAAATCTTCAATTAAAATAAGACGCATGAGGTCCTTGGCTTCCGGTGATATTCCAGCGAAGTATTCATCGGGGAAACAGTAGTCGTTACGAATGATATTAGAACACGTTTCTTCTTGACTTTCATCCAGGAACGGTGATACACCACTTAATAATACATAGATTATAATACCAGCACTCCTACAAATATTCAAATTTAAACCTGAATGATGCAGAGCAAGAGCAAGAGCAAGAGCAAGAGCAAGAGCAGAGCAGAGCAGAGCAGAGCAGAGCAGAGCAGAGCAGAGCAGCATTCATTTCTTAATGCATAGATAATAATACCAGAACTCATACAAGGCATCAGAAATTCAGATTGAAAAACACAAAATTAAATAGTTAATAACTAAATAGCACATTGATTTATTTGCAAGTCAGTCACAATCTACTGAAGTCAGTCACAATCTACTGAAGTCAGTCACAATCTACTGAAGTCAGTCACAATCTACTGAAGTCAGTCACAATCTACTGAAGTCAGTCACAATCTACTGGAGTCAGTCACAATCTACTGGAGTCAGTCACAATCTACTGAAGTCAGTCACAATCTACTGAAGTCAGTCACAATCTACTGGAGTCAGTCACAATCTACTGGAGTCAGTCACAATCTACTGAAGTCAGTCACAATCTACTGGAGTCAGTCACAATTTCATTTGCCAATGACTTCAGGGTCTAATTATAAACCAATTAGGGACTTTATTTTCCAAAATTGAACTAAATCAAAATTCAGATTTTAAGAAATACATTAATCTGATTGGATAATACAACTGCATTTAAAATGTGTTTGACCAATCAGATGATAGCAACACTTAAATCATTTTAAAGTTTTTAAGAATTAGGCCCCATATATAATAGAGGTTACTGGGTTAAATAATATCAATGACAAATCACACAATTGATGTCAAAATTCAATACAGCATAAACCCCTTTACCCCTTTACTTCACCCTTAAAACTTTACCCCTTTACTTCACCCTTAAAACTTTACCCCTTTACTTCCCCCTTAAAACTTTACCCCTTTACTTCACCCTTAAAACTTTACCCTAAAAACTTCACCCCTAATCAACTTACCAGACATCAGTGAGGAGACCGACTGGAGTAGAACTAACTATTTCTGGAGCCATGAATTCAGGATTGCCCACCATTGGATGTATATAATAATTATTATAAATATGTCTGGCGTCACCAAAATCTATCAGTTTTACACTCGTAGACATTGGTCCTACCTCTACTAATAAATTCTCAGGCTGCAAAACAAATCAAGGCTCATCATTAACCAAAGCCTAAAAAATTTTTTTTTTCATC